TGGGGGACATTTATATATAATGATGACATTGAATCTGTTATTACAACTAGCTGACTATGACACTCTTTACAATCATAATACATTAACAAAATTTTTGAAAAAATATCTACCTTGCCCTTAACCTTTGTTTACTTTTGATTTCAGCTAAGTGTCTCAAAACTGTCAACATGACATGTTATCCATCAAAAGCCATAATTAACTTTTAAAATTTGCTTCAGGGTTTTAGAAACTAAATTTTGAAGCAGATCTTAATAGAAAAAAAGAAATGAACTATGTCAAGTGTTCAAATTTCTATGGATAACCCTGATTTGCACACAATTTCTTCCACTCCTAAGGTTCATTTTACAATTATCTACTGGCAAGTTGAAATTCTAAAGAAGAGATTTGCTATTACAACAAAAATATTTTATATAAGTATCTCAATCCTGAGTTTCCTTTCTTTGGATTATGTACATCTAGTACTGACTGGAATATATACATCCAAAACTATCACAAAATTCAAAAATGTTTTATGGCATTCTGTGGTAGCTTCTTATCTATAATTCTTATTAAACCATAAAGTACACCTCATATTTTTTATTACTATTTTTCCTATTGTTTTAAATGCTTTTTATAACATGCTTTGAATTTTTTGCCACAACTGATAGGCTCCGATTTTTGCCACCATTTGTTTTTAAATAATTTATCAGTTATGTAAGTATGCACACTGTAATGGTTAAGGTGTAGAAAATGGCTAGACTGACTGGATCTACAAGTACCTCGGATGGCAAAGAGAGAGAGAGAAAAATAAAAGCTATCAGCCACAAGCTGTAGGGTTGTCTTGGTTCCATGTAATACCCTATGGATCATTTAAATATATACCAAAAATACATGCATAATATATATAAAAGAAAAACAAAAAAGGTAAATAAACTTTCAAAGGGTAAGAAATACACGACTGATAAATGTAGAATGTCTTGGGGGCTTCATTCCCTGGTCCCCCCTTTTTATGGTTCAGCCCCCAAAACCATACTAGGGTGATTCCCCACATAGTTATTAAATAAGAATTAGAGCTGGGCAATTGGTGGAATTTGCTAATCAATTAATCATTGGTCTCATCAATCAGTTACATTCAACTCATCAATTATTCTCACACAATAATAATTTTCCTATTTTCAGTTTTTTGTTTAACATAATAGGTTGTCAAGTATACCAATTTAGTATTTAATTACTTTTAAATCCTAAACTGTTGTACATGAAAATGTAGCTTATACACGACACAGTAGAAAACCTATAACAAGCTGAAAATACAAGTAATACTGCTCTACGAGTTTCTCCCCCATCCTGGAAAAACAAAGACAGTACCTTATAATGGCTGGAGACGGCTTGAATAGGTAATGAAGAAAAAACTTTAATATAAGTTTAACATAACAGCAAATGTACCATGTTTACTATTTGGCAAGAAAACATCATGATAACTTCTCTGTAGAGATTAAAATAATTCATAAGGTGGAAATCAAAGTATTATGAGAAATACTAAAATCACAAAAATATGAAAAAAATCTTTAATTATACATGTTTTGGAATTTTTCTAGTTCCATCATCAGTGTGAAAAGCTTAAAAATAACTATAACTTAAGCGAGACAAAAGTTTAGAAAGGATACATTTACATGAAAAATACGTTTACATTTTACAGTACAGGCTGGAAGGAACTGCAGAAACATGTGTTCTAAGAAATCAATAAATCAAAAACTCAGTGCTTACTGTACTAGGCAGTGTTTAAAAGCCACATGACAACAGCCAGACCTATTTTCTCTTTTCAGTGCTTCCCATCTATAAGCAATTAGCATTTCTTTCCCAAACAAACAGAGATTAATCAATATTATCTTCTTGCCATAAAGTTTCTTTCATTAAAACAATCTTACCCTAACATCCTTGTCACATACTTCAAAGTATACCTAATTCAAGTTATGACTGGTTACAAACATTAATACAGGCCCTTTGTCTCACTAGTGTTTCAGAAGCCACAAAAACGCTAAGGCTTCCTAATACACACACATGCACACCTTTGATTTAAGACACAAAAAACACAGGACTTTTAATGAAAAATAAACTAGCTCATCTTTAATAAATGTGGTATTTTTTTTTCCCAATACCAATTTTTCTGCATTACTTGTGATAACAGTTAATCATATGTCACGACCTGAGAATTATGAATTACTAACAATTTATTTACTTAATATTCAGCATAAAAAATTCTTATCAAATATTAATATAATGTTAACAGCATAATGTCCTTTTCATAGTTTTGGAAAAATCAACTTTCCCCAACTTTAAAGACAAAAAATATATATAACAAAAGAAAGTGATGGAAAAAATTTTGAATATGCTTTTATTAAAAATATTAAATTTATGAATGTATTTTTCAGTACCCTAGGGTAAAAAATGTGTGTGGTGGCAGAGTAGTTTTATGTTTAAAGAAATTATTTATTCTCTTTTAAGTTAATAATTTTGTTTAAACCACTATCACTAAAAAATAAAATCTTTATATATTAGTATTAAATACACCTGTCCTAACACAGATAAATGCACAAATATATACATGTCTAACTTAATTCTTTTTAGTTACAAACACTTTTTAACTACTCACAACATGCTATGTTTGTCCACTTGCACTTCTTAGATGGCACCCACAAGTTGGAGGAGCCAGTATCAAACACAACGTTGAAATTTTGTAGAGGAGTGCCTATACCAATAGGTCCATAGTACTGGGCCTAGAAACAAATGAGATTAGAGTAAACGATTTAATACAAACACAGTAAATTCCATCTTAAGTTTAAAAACAGACTCAGACATTACATATAGTAAGAACAATTTCCAAATTGCATATTAATATTAATTTGATGCTAAACTTACAAAAATTATTTACAACAGTATATATATATCTATTAGTCACAAACTTTCAATTCATCTCAAAATATTTACAGATATCTTATGAAATATACATTTTACTAAGCAATAGTAGTTGCATATGGTGTTTCTCACACCTCCAAATTCGTAGTCATGATCTAGTCAATGAATGCCTCACTCGCTTCATAGTTTGTACCATATCCCCCCCCCCAATACCGCAGTGACCAAACAGTGCAACACAAGATGATCTGTGTCTTGTGGGGATTCCTGACATGCTGGGCATGTAGGGGATTCATGATAACCCCATTGATACAGGTTGCCTGCTGTACTTTTGGAGGTGTGTATCTGGGAGTAGGACTGACATCCTATTCCGGACACCGGGTTTGGATCACTCATAGTTTTCCCCCTTTCCTTCTGTGGTCATTGGGGTACTTCAGCCACCACATGACAGCAACGCGGTACTTAGCAATTACAAGCCCTCTTTCATCTCAAGGTAAATATTATAATAACTGATGTTAAACTTGCTTTTCTTACATGTCTCAATAATATGTCTTATCATTTCAAAAACTCATCTTTTATTCCATTCTTCTTTTTTGATGAATTCAGATAAATGTTTTAAAGTTAGGCTATTAGTTTTGATGAACCAACACTACTACTGTTGATAGTCTTGAGGTTTCAACTTCAATATGTAAAGTTTTTTTACTTCAAATATTTTGTATTTTGAAAATCAGTTTTGTTCTATAATACAAATGTCTTTAATTGTGATGTAAAATAGATTTTTATGCAAAACTAGCTTCCTAAAAATTATTTCAATACAACCTAAACTGGTTATTCAAAACAAACTGTTTACAGATGGAGATACAAATCAATAATGTATTTACAGAATTAAGATTCCACAATAAAACTAACATATGCAAATGTTTGTTATTAACAGAGTCCAGTCAAAATAGACCTTCATTACTAGTGGTATGTATCAGGGATCAGTGCTTAGGTCTTTGCTTTTACTTAATTACATCAATGATGTTGATAAGGGCATAATTATCTAAGTTTTGATAACAAAGTCTTAAGTACTTCTAACTGTTACTAAGATGATGAGGTACTATAGAATGACTCGTACTGATTGATAATGCTGTTGTGTTATCATAATTTCAGTCACATGTTTAATATAGATAAAACAGGACCTTGGCATTGTGGCAGATAAGTCACTCAAGTAAAGGAGGCAGTGTTCTGTTGCTAGCAGTAAATCTAATATAGTAAGAGAATACATTAGCAATATTCCTGAACCTAAGCATTCTACGAGATATATTTGAAATGACCTTAATCATATAGATATTAATCCATTGACAGAGATTAAAAACAGGCTAATGTCTCCTTTTGTTTGGGATTGGTCAATAGACAATGGGCAACTACGTGAGGATTGGAAAATTGATAAAATCACTATTTTAAAGGAGATAACAGTTCTCTTTAAAATTATAGACTAGCTAGTCTTACTTCTAGTGGAAAAAAAATCTGAAGAGTTTGATAAAAGAAGCTTTTTAAAATCATATAGTGAAATGTGGCCTTTTTAAAGAAAGACAACATGGATTCACTAAAAGAAAATTTTGCCTTACTAATCTGTTAACAAATAACATTCTTGAAAAAACAAAGATACCTGGAGAATGGACAGGGTGTGGAATTGATGGATATGGATCTTCAAAAAAGATTTTGATAAGATACTACACATGGTTAACACAAAAACCACATGAACAGTGGTTGGAAAAAAAGACTAGTTATTGGGACATATGGTAGTTGGATAAAGGAAAGAAAAGGGTTATTAATGGAGTTCAAACTTCATTCTTGTTACTACTGGAATGCCTTGAGAGTCAAGTGCTTAGGCCTTTGATTTTTCTTGTTTACATTAATGATACTGATAATGAAATATGTAAAGTTAGTAAAGTTTGTTGATGATCTTAAACTCTTGGGTATTTCTAGCTGTATTGTTGATAATGCTTTTGTGTTATAATTTGGGTCACATGTTTAATATAGATGGGAACTCACTCAGTGGCATAAATGATAAAAAAACAGGACCTCAGTCTAGTGGTAGATAAGTCTCTTGAGACAATGATCTTTGATTTCATTAACCACAAGGGGTGTAGACAGAATCCAATAAAGGGGCGTGAGTGTAAGCCAGAGTTCAAAGTTAACATATATCTGGTAGCATTTTGCTTTAAAACAAATTTTGCTACTAGTTATTTGTTACAATAACATTTCACTGATAGCTTATATACAGCACATGTGAAAACATACTTTTTTAATGCAAACATTTCAACATTTTTTCAAATGCTAATAGAGCTTTCTGATTAGTTGGTGACAATCTGTAGTTTAGCACAAACCCATTAAAATTACTTACAACTCTGAAAAAATATATTGAGAACATTTATCTTATCTCTTGTGATTTGAATAAACATCTTTGTTTATGGTGCTTTGGTAATATAGAAAAAAATTTCAAAGTACAAAGTTAATTTTATAGATCAAAGGTAAAAATCTGATGATCATGTTAACATTTTGCAAGATATCTTGATTCCAGGAGTAGAAGGTTATATTTGAATTCCTCCAAGTTAATAACAGAATTAGATCAGGTCAGAGCAAATAAAAATTGATTCTCATCTGCAATATTTAGTATAGATTTTGTTCCTTTTACAATGCCCCCAGTGGCTCAGCAGCAAGTATATGGGCTTACAACAGTAAAAATCAAGTTTCAATACTTGTGGACAAAGCACAAATAGCCCATTGTGTAGTTTGGTATTTAATAAAAACTCTTAATGAAAAAAAAAATTTAAATACTATATAACTAATCAATATTCGTAGTACAAGTAAAAATACCAGATACATAAACAGTTAAGCACAAGATGATTTCAGGAAAATACAGTCAACTATATGGTAATGTGAGTTATCCAATCCATTTAAAACAGATGTTAAAACTTTTGCTTTTTTAAGTACACATTTTCACGTGCCTAAACACTATATTTTGAGTGAAAGAAAATGAGCCTAAGAGCATAACAATGTATCTGAGTTATCGTAATTTGGATCACATTTTATATAGATGGGAACTACTCAATATTGTGATTGAATGAAAGAAACTTAGTATCATGGTAGATAAGTCACTCAAGCCATTGAGGCTGTACTATATTACTAGTAACTAAGTTAAACCTTTTTTTGGGGAGGAGGGGGATCACAAGTTAGGCCTCACTTGAAATACTGTGTATAGTTTTCAGGGGTAGATATGGGATTTTGGAAAGGGAGGAGGAGTTAAACTCTTGGACCAAACTAAGTTTAATGATAAATAGGCCTAGTTGTAATGATACATGCAAATTTTTAATGATATGTTACTAAAATAAATATACCATTATCATTTTTGAAATTATTAAAAGATTTACCATTACAATATTCACTAGTAATACATGTTTATTTTAGAACTTCAGAATAAATGTGAATAATAATAATATCCACCTTGGTTTTGGTCTACTCATCAAGAAAATAGATTGGTTTATTGGGATGAGTTTACAGGAAGGCATAAGTTACAATCTAAATTTCTTTTCTCTTGAGAAAAGAAAGATATGAGATGGTCTAATTGAAGTTTACATGAAGATTACCCAAGGTTACAACAGAATAACTGCCTTCAATTTCTTTGTGCTGTATTCGGAAGACAATAAGACAACAGAAGTTCATGATTAGGAAACAACAGGCCACACACCAATTAGGACAGTTATTTTTTTAACATGATGATTGGTTTATGAAATGAGTTGACACCAGTAGCAGTAAAGGCCCTCATCTTATGGAACCTTTAGAGGCAAATTAATAAATTCCTGAAAAATAAATGGAGAGTTTAAATTTTTTTTAAACCTTTTCTCAGGGTAGGTGTGCAAAGAGAGCCTTAAAGGGCTAAATGTTGCCTTTTTGTCCATAGTCGTGTTATGTAAATAAATAGCAATTATAGAAATAAGCATGAAGCTGCTTTTTCTGCAACTCCTGCTAATTTTACCAGAATAAAAATATCAATTGTACAAGTTTTAATTGTTGTCCAATTTATGAAATAAAGTAATGTTTTAACTGTTCTACTAAAACGAAAAAAGTCTGACAGGTAAAAAACCTGTATACAGCTAAAGTAATAACAATAAAAGTTTCTGTACATTTATGACTCAGTTTAGCATTTTTTCAAGACTTACATCAAGATAGTTTGACAATGGTTCTGGAAAAGGTCCATTCCCTTTGAAATGGAAGTTGGGTTTAGCTAATTTCACAGGTGTTCCTACTTCTTGAAGATGCCGTCGAACAGATTTCATTCGATACAAAGGGATTCTAAAAGGAAAACTTCTAACATATTAACTTTTAGCCTGTACAAGATGAGACAATATAATACGATCAATACATAAGAGTTAGAGTACTAGACACTAAAATTATGAGGCAAATAAATTGTTTAGTTGTACTAACTGAAGAGTTACAAATATGCTTAGAATTTATTATTACTAGAAGTCTTTCTAATAAATTGCTAGAATATGAAGATATAGTTTACTTAGTATATAAAATGCCATCGATACATGCATCACCGATACTTGATTAAACTAAGATTATAAAAACATTACTTTAGAAGTTTTTAAAATTATCTGGGGAATTGGCAGGATAAAGATCTCCAATTTCTTTGTGCTATACTTGGAAAACAATAGGATGTGAGGATACAAGTTTAAGATTTGTAAAATACAGGCTAGACTCCATGAAAGTTTTATTTTTCTAACAGGGTGGTTGGTTTGTGGAACGAGTTCTCACCAACAGGTGTAGGCTGGCACTTCACAAGTTTAAAATGGAAATCTATAATTTTCTGAAAAATAAGAGGGGGGGGGGTACTTTTCTGAAGTTAAATTCCTGATAGTTGAAAGATACTAATTGGAACTTATTATTTAAGCCATTAAAATAGGAGCAAAGAATGTGGTTATGTAGGCATGTTTTCAAATAGGTATATTTGACTACAGAAGTCTATTTTAAACCCATTCATTCATTATTTATATCAACAACTTTGATAAATGTTTGAAAAACACTACTTCCAAATTTGCTGATGATACTAAGATGATGGAAAAAAGAAAAAAAAAAAGAGTCAATTCTATTGAAAATATTTCTCTTATCTAAAGGATCTTGACAGACTTAATGGTTGGGCCAGAAGTTTTAATATTGACAAGTGTAATATTATGCATTTGGAATATGTGAACTTTCCAAGATCTTACTTTTTTCACCACTTACATGCCATACACTAATACACCGAGAAAGTGTCGAAGTGAATTTCGAGCAAATTTATAGTATGAGGGAGGTACGTATGTGCATATTTGAATACTAGATGTAAAACCTCTTGGTATACTTCTTGGACAATACTATGATAAAAATAAAGAATATTTTGAAAAGTTTGGGTGGAATTAGTCAAAATAAAAAATATGTGATAAAGACTACCTTATAGTAGCCCCCCAAAAACATCTTTATTATAATATAATCAGTTTGTGGGTTGAATATATTCTTAAAAAAGAAAAAAAAGCATTATGCTTAGATTATTGCAAGTTTACTAGAATGAGGTGATTCTGATAGTGATAGGATAGGGTTTTGTTAACACACAGCAAAATTAAATCTTAATTTGATTTATTAAATGAATAATATATAATAAAAATAATGAAAACGTATATATAATATAGTTAAAATGCTAGATTAGTCATTAGTAATAGTATAAAAGAAACTGTCTGGATTTTTAAACTTTTTTTAACAAGTTCTTTTTATGTATAACTTATAAGTATAAAAACTATAATAATTCTGCATGAAATTACCAAAACATTATAGAACTGTACACACTTCATCAAGTCAATGAAACATAAAGGTAGTAACTTTCATACTGACGTCTATTAAATTTTAAAGGCCTAAATAGTCATGGAGAAGTTCGATAAATGGTATAGTATAACTATAACAATATAACCGTTTTCAACAAATATCATACATACTAACTGTTCTTAGCTGTAGGCTTTGCAATGTGTAGTACTTCACGATCGTACAAAAACTAAAGTTTAAAACAATGAAACATAATTTAAAAATCAGAAAAAACACTAATAGTGTAAATGAGACTAATACGTTAGTTATTACTAATATTACCTTTTCAGCCCTTCACAGGTAGAAAGCGCAATAAAAACGAAAAGCAAAACTTGAATAAAAATCTTCATTTTCAACCTTAGTAACGTCTGAAACTTGTCCAGCCAGAATAATAAATTAAGACACAACAAACCGTTAGCACACTATTATCCCTCTGTACGGATGACGTTATTTACCACAATCATATGACCGATTATACACTATGAGCACGCATGCTCGTAAATATCACAGAATTTCTGTGGTTTTACTTTTAGTGTTTCACAACTCATTCTTTGTTATCATTGTCAGATAATAGTTCAAACATATATTTATAACAATAAAAAATTACCTTTTGATAAAAGGTTAGAAAAAACAACCTTTACACTCCAGAAAAATATAAAATAATATATTTTTATTTCAACCAACCTTTCGCCTTTGCTGCTTCATCGGGGTTAATATACACAAACAGATAAATATAAAAGAATATATTTTTATTTCAACTGTTGCGTCAGCGAGTCACATGACAACTGTGACGCCACGTTTCTAGAACTATCTTGTTTCTTCATGAATGCTCTAGTGTTTGCTAGATGGGGTAGGC